TCTACAGTCCTGCCAAATTTCATGTTGACCGGTGCAGCTGTTTTTGTGCTACGGTTGACCAAAAGTCTCCAAAGAAAAAATAAATAAATAAACCGTATGAAAACAATTTGACTCCTGCTTACGCTTCGTGTGCAGGGGTCGTAATAATGTAAAAAGTCTTTATTATTCCAGTCATTTTTTAATTCACATCTCCTCTCTCAGCTTTGACACTAAAAATCAAAAGTTAATTCTTAAAATCTTGCAGCAAGCAGAACATCATGCCTAAACAAAATGAGCAAAAAGTACAGAAACCTGTCCACATTGATGAGGAGATTTAATAGAAGTGACTGGTAAATGTTCAGTTTAGAGAGTGACATGGGTTATTTCTAAAAGATGATACCTAAACTACTCAAACTGATAAATACACAGCTGAGAAAAATGAACAGTCGATGGTAAAAATGTGTGAAAACAAAACACGCTGGAACATTTTCAAATTGATATTTTGTTGGTGCACGAGCAGCAACAAAGACTTTTAGCTTCACTAATCAGTAAAGCCTTGTTAAAATGTACAGACAGTGGAGGAACTCACAGCGTGAAGCATAAAAACAACTTTGCAGAACAATTCCTAACTGTATCCTGACAGGTCTGCAGCTTTTCTGCTCTTTTACGTTGCGTCTCCCACCTACACCTGAGAGCTGCAGCTGTATGTGTTCAAAGCACCGGYGTCTGCCTCCTGTGTTGTGTCGCCGCACAGCTTTCTCATTAAGAAAAAGAAATATGTGCAAGAATAAGAAATGGCTGCAATTTATTAAGGAGAGCTTCATTGTTTGTTCGCCGTGTTATTTTGGAGTTCCACGCAGAGTTTCAGTGCAGCAGGAAGCGACACATTCAACCTCTCTGATTACAACACTCAGAATTTTCAAAACAAGCTGCAGTGATTGGATTAAATAAAAAGAATAAAGCTGTGATCATTATGTTGTTGTGTCAACTTTTTATTTAGTAATATGCATCACTTTTCTATTAAAGGCCTGTAATTATGTTAATATGAAACCATGGTAAAACGTGTTACAATTATGAGTTGATACATTAAAACATTATTAAAAAAATGTCTTTAGCTCACAAAAGTGTTCTTCAGAAAGACTGCACACTTAAGTGTAAAATGAAATGTTAAAAAAATTCACAAACTTATTTTTTACTACTTAGTTCGCTGTTAGAAGCAGAGGTTAATGTCAGATAACCAGGATGAGGTCATCATCCTGTGACAAACATCTACAATGGCCACTGCTAGCCACCGCTAGCTGCTGCTAAAGATAATATTTAAAATCTAAAATCAAAATGTGTTGATAAAAACAACATGGGTGGTTCCTGTGGTCCAGCAGGTTGAAGTGCAGCTCAGGCACCAGGCAGAACTGCAGGTTTGATATCTTGTAGGGAARCTTTAGCTGCSTTAGAGCTAAYGGTTGCCATCGTCTCAGGATGAYGACATCATAACATGAGCCAAAGGCTGTGTTCCATTCCAAAATACTTAAATGTGAACTTCATCATTTAAGGTTTAACTTTTACATTTAGATTTAAACATTTACATTTAGGATTTAATATTTCAATATATTTTTAACTTTTAAATTTAATATTTAGTAAAAAAAATAGGTAACAC